CACAGGTGGTACGCGTACTCCAGGTTGATTACCACTGTTCTAGACAACGTAGTTTACACACACGCACACACACTTGTTATATCCTCTTCTTTACAGGCTGGGTTTTTGCTTTCCGAGTTTAAAATGTCTGTGTCGAAAGAAGTACTGTTTTAAAGAATTTTTGGTTTGGCATTGTTCCGTATACATCTTTTCTCTTAAAAAATAAGTCTCATGACACCTTTACACGTTTATGTATGCGTATAACTTCGTGGTTTGTGCAGACCACGTATCATAAGGTGGTGGAATTAGTAGGTTAAGATAAGGCGTACAAGAATATCGTTTAGGGATACAAGAAACAAATACAGAAATATTGAAAATAAATACTTTGGAGACCGAATAATGGGAGAACACCATTAACACTGATTTAATAGCCGAGCAGAGATACTGAAGTACGGTTATCAGATGTTTTCACGAAAGTGTGCCGTGGTGTATTAACGTGTCTCATTTCTTATAGTTTCAATCGTGTGCTTATGGTATCTCATTATCCCGGTAAATAAAACTGTTTTCGAAAAAAAATGCGATAGAAATTCAGTCCTTCGTACGTTATTCAACGAACATGGAAACTGTGGCTTGTGAAAGCTGTAGCCCTGCCCACGGCGATGTTCATATAACCTGTTATTCTTTTTATAACACATGTTTTGTGCTGGTTTTAATCTGTCATACATAGTTAGTAAATAAAAATGACACGTATTTTATATTTTCAATTTAGGCCGAGTGGCATGAAAAAGAAGTTTGGGTTCTACTTCAGATTAGTTCTTATCGCGTTCATAGCACTAATCACAGTTCAGGTATCGAGTCCTAATTAATTAATTCTTTAAAGCTGAAGCTCATCTAAATAATATGCGAGAATTAACTCCGTACCGCAAAGAAAACACAGCACTTAACCAGTACAAAGATCACCTAGTTGACGCTGTTTAAGAAGTAATCTCTGATTACAGTGCAAATGATACGAAGTCCATAAGAGTTACCGATTGTTGAAGTAGGTGGGACAAAAACAGTTACTCGCAATTGGGTTTTTATAATTCTTACAATTTTTAGGAAAGGGATATACAGGTTGATCCAAAAAGGACTTTACAACTTTGAAAGTGTATAGAAATTTA